GCGGCGGGGGCGGGGAGGCCCCGGGGCGCCCCTGCGCGGCGGGGCGGCGGCGGGGGAGGGCCGAGGGGTGGCGTGGGGTGTCCCCCTAACCTGGAGTCTTCTCCTGGGACGCCCCGCGGCTGGAGCTGGAGCTCGGGGGGGCGACCTCTACGAGCGTCTCTCCAGGTCGGCTTGCAAAACAGGGAGTTACCCCCCTCCCCCGAGTCACTGGTGCTTTTGGGGAAATTGATGCAGAGGAGAGCGCTGAGATGGGTCGCGGAAGGGCGCGACCTGGGCACTGAGGACAGTCGCCGCGCAAACCCAGCCACGCAGGGACAGGAGCTGGAGATGGCCAGTCCTAGTAGAAAGCTTCCAATGGCTTGGATTCTAGAGGGTCCTGAAGTTGTTCCAGGGTTGCACGCCGGGAGCCACACCCCCAGGGTGGATCACAGACTTTCTGGGAGTCCCCCACCCCGAAAGCCAGGGTTAGGTTCCTTGCAGCTTCCCCGCATCTTTCCCACGTCCCAGCTAGGAACTTCCACACCTCAGCGAGAACTTGTCGTAGGAAGGATGGCGTCTTCTCTATAATTGGCTTCACGAAGTTGTGTGTTTGTGTTATCTGGAAATAAGGTCTACCTGACGAATCACCAGTCACAGTTTGGCCCAGGGAGCTGGTCACACTGATGAAATTTCAGGCACATGCATCTCCAAGTTGCCAAATTGAGGTGACCCAAGCCAGTATGGTCGGGGGTCGGCCCTGGGAAAAAGAAAGGTTTTAGGAACTTGTATGAATGTTTATTGATAGATGTGAGAACCGAAAAAGTCATTTGGAGAAAGATAATTAATAGGATTCAGTCCTCTAAATGGCTTAATACAGTATAGTTAAGTGAATGGAAGTTAAATGAAAATTAAAAAGCAAGTGTTTATTGCCAATTCATTTATTATCTGTTCACTAGACTTCAGCTGATCTCTGAGGGTGGTAAACTTACCTATAGGGGCTTCATAAGTAACAAAAGTAAAGAAAGTGAGTAGCAGAAGTCCTTTGGTAAACAAAAGCCAGAGTTTTGTTTAAAGAGTGCAGCTACAGAGCCAGGTGGAAGGCAGTGGTGCACACCTTTGATCCCAGCACTTGGGAGGCAGAGGCAGGTGGATCTCTGTGAGTTCGAGACCAGCCTGGTCTACAGAGGAAAGAGTTCCAGGACAGGCTCCAAAGCTACACAGAGAACCCGTCTCGAAAACCAAAACACACACACACACACACACACAGAGTGCAGCTACAGAAATGCAGGCCCAAAATAGGCAGATCTTCAAATCTTTCTTGGTACTAGTGGGCATTTTATTAAGCCGGGGTCTCACTATGCAGGCTTGGCTGGCCTGGAGTTCCCACCAGCGTCTGCCTCCTAAGTGCTAGGATTAAAGGCCTTTACCACCACACCCTGCACTGGTGGGTTTTGGGTCAGGCTTTCACTATGTACTCCAGGTTGGTCTCAAACTTTTCTTGTTCCTGCTTCAGCCTCCCAAACTCTGGAATTACAGATCGGTCCCTCCCTCTATGCCTGTCCCCATCTTCTAGATTTTTCGAGAGAATATGTATGTTTGTTTATTTGTTTTTAGATAAAGAGGCCTAGCCCGGCATCAAACTGGACTGTGGGATGGCATATGTGCCACTATATCCAGTCATGGCAAAAAAAAAAAAAAAAGTGTGTGTGGAGAGAGAGAGATTACAGTTATTTAATTGAGGGCAAACAATGCCTCATGGGTAAAGGTCCTTGCCACCACACCTATTGACCTGTGTTCAATCCTTGGAACCCACATATAGGAAGGAAACCTGCTGAGCATAGTGGCAAGCCTTTAATCCCAGCAATCATAAAGCAGACCCTTTCTAAAAAAGGAATCATAACAATAACAAAGAAACAGAGGAGATCTAGCTCCAGCTCCCGAAAAGTTTCCCTCTGACTTCTACATGAAAGCTGTGACACACATACACAAATAAATAAATGCCAAACTTTTTGGAGGGGTGGGGAGAGTTGAGACAGGGTTTCTCTGTGCAACAGCCCTGTCTGTCTTGGAACTCACTCTGTAGACCAGGCTGGCCTAGAATTCACAAAGATCCACCTGCCTCTGCCTCCCAATTGCTGGGATTAAAGGTGTGCACCACCAATGCTCAGCTAGTTTTTGTTTTGTTTATTTTAAGATAATAGAAACATATTCTTATATGTGACTGGGTATTGCTATGCTGGCCTCAAACTGACACTGTAGCTAAGGCTGTCCTTGAACTCCTGACCCTTCTCCCCCTATCTCACAGGTATATGGCATCATAGTTCTTTTTGTTTTATTTTTTGAAGCAGTGTGACTGTGTTACATAGGCTGGCCTGAAACTGCTATTCCTCTTGCCTTAGCTTCCTTAATGCTGGGAATAGATAGATGTGTGCCAGTGTTTCGACTTTTTATTTTAAATCAAGGTCACACAGTATTGTCCAGTCTGGTGCAAATTCCTGGCCTCAAATGGTCCTCCAACCTCAGCATCCTGAGGTTTTTGACTAGTGACTTGCATCGAGTCAGACAACAACAGAAGAACAACAATGCTGCAGATTGATCCAAATATGTACTTTCTGGATATGGCCCAGACTCTACAACTTGGTAACCTGTGACCTATACTGTTCCACATTCTGTAGGGAAAGCAAAGGTAATTTATCAGAGTTTCCAAACTAACAGTGAAGAAAATGTATTTACTAAACCTTTATAAACATAACACATGGAACAAGATTTTTGGCGTTATGCAGGTTTTTGGTTGCCAGCCACGGAGAAGTGACTCTGGCTCATTTCATCGGGAAAGGAATTCCTAAGGAGGATGCAGAGAGCTTTAGAATTGAGGGTTCCGAGTCTAAATGGAATCCAGCCTCTGAAGCTGCTGCCTTCCATCGTCCTGATGTTCCAGAGAAGAAGCGGCCACCAGTCTGAACCTGAGTCCCAGCACAGACAAAGGGCACTAACCACTTCTGGGTGTAGGCATACACAATGAAGTCAGTGACTGTCATGTAGGGTCATGATAAGTTCAGTCTTAGGGGCGCTACAATGTATAAGGCAATTGGGGAAGCTGGAGAGATGACCCAGTGATTTAAAGCACTTGCTGCTGTTCCAGAGGACCTGAGTTCAGTTCCCAGCACCCATTTTTTATGGCTCTCAACTGTCTGTAATTCCACCTCCAGGGGATCCAACACCTTCTGGCCTTCACAGGCCTCACACAGACACATTAAAAATAAATACAATTTTAAAAGGCTTTCAGGCATAGTGGTGCATGCTTTTCTTAAGTGCATGTGAGTGTTTTGCCTGTATGTATGTCTGCAAACCCAATGAAGGCTAGGAGAGGGTGTAGGAACCCTTGGGATTAGAGTTCCAGACAGTCATCCTCTGCCATGTGGGGAATTGAACCCACGCCCTGTGGAAAAACAACTGTTGAGCCATCTTTCCAGCCAGTCTACACCTTTAATCCCAGCACCCAGGAGAAGAGTGAGAGAGAGAGGTAGAAAGGAAGAAGTCACTGTATTATTGAAATAGACAGGTGTTCAGATGGCCTATATATCTAGGCTGGTAGGATATCGCTGGCCATATCATGATGATTCCTCCTGAAACCCACTCAGTAAAGGCAACAGGCGGGTCCTTCTAGAGGACAACCCGACCCATGAGCCCATTATAATCTCTGCACTGGCCTGATTGCTACTTTGTGTTACTTTGTTCATGACCTCAGATCCACAGGTCAATCTTCTCCTTCTCCCTCCCCCTCCCCCTCCCCTTCCCCTTCCCCCTCCATCTCCCTCTCCCGTGTGTGTGTGTGTGTGTGTGTGTGTGTGTGTGTGTGTGTGTGTGTGTGTGTGTGTGTGTGTGTGTTTCTTCTCATGTAGCCCAAATTAGCCTCAAAGTAACCATGCAGCCAAGGATGACCTTGACTATCTGATCCTGCTGCCTCCACCTCCTGAGATCACAGGGGTGAGTCACAACGCCCAGTTTACCTTTTGCTGGGGACAGGAGTCAGGGCCTTTTCCATGTTATATAAGTACTCTACCAACTGAACTATATCTCAGCCCCATGCTGAGTGTCCACTCACTTATTGAAGCTTCCTCTGCGCTGAGACCATTTAAGTGTGTGTCTGTGTGTTCATGTTTAGCCTAAGTGTATGTCTGTGAACTGCCTGAAGAAGCCAAAAGGGCCTGGGATCCCCTGGAAAGTGGAATTACAAATGGTGAGCCTCCATGTGGGTGCTGGGAACCAAACCCTGGTCCTGTGGAAGAGCAG